CAGAGACCGTTAATGTTACACATATATTAAAACTGGTGAGGGATTATATCCATCACAATTGAATCCAATATAAATAAGTTAATTTGTGATTGATCACAGGGGAGAGGGATTCACTCTGGATCGGGCACTGTCTCTGCTGTTTCATAACTTACAAAATGCGCGCGTCATAAATCCTAGCCCAAACCCTAAAAAATGCAACCCCGAAAAATTTTAGTATTTTCAAATTTCTTTTGTCGCGGGTTTTATTTTTCACGACTAACTCTGACGTTATGTACCTCCTTCCTGAATGTCTTAACGCTGTGAAATACCGTGGTAAGATAAACAGTGCTAACGTTCTTTATGTTTACAACGTAACTTATCATTTGCGATTATATAGCCTTTTGGGAGAGTACGGACCAGCCTTCTCTCAAGAAATTTTTAGATTTTCGGCTTTCAGCTGGCGACATAGAAGATTCAAGAGTTGAATACGATCGTTACAAGAAAGAATTAGACGAAATCAGCAAATTTTATGCTGAAGCATCTAAGTCTGGGCAGGAAGTGCAAAGGTGGAAAAATGCTTTCAAGGCAAGTAACGTATATAATTTTTGGATCAGGGTAATGAGTACACCAACTACCCTGCAACCTGACAGCTTGTAGGGGAAAGACTGCTTGTCTGTTGGTGAGCTTGCTCCACGAACCGCCTTGAGACTCATCATACCATTAAGTACACCAACTACTCTACAATCTTGCGCGCTTGTAGTGGGAACGACTGCTTGTCTGTTGGTGAGCTATGCTTAATGGATTTTGTAGACTCATGGTGGTCGCGAAAGATATATATTCAATAATCGAATGATACAATCTGTGTGCTTGTTTGTTCGTGATGTTACCTATTGTTGTTTGCACGTGAATAGGACAAATTATCAAACGAAGTTCAGGTACTTAGAACTTCTGTTTTATAGGAAAGTAAACGGTCATCAGCGATAAAGAATTTTTGGAAACTTCAAAACGAAAGACAAAATCTTATAATGAAGAACCAGTTGGTTGAAGATAAGGTCAATTTTCGAAAAGAAAAAGCAAATGCGAAGGTTCAAAAGTTGCAGGTACTCAATTCATTTTCATTCCACCCAAATCTAACGTGATAGGTCAAAACATTCACTCTTGATCCATTTTCCGTAGACAAACCAGTACATAACCGTTGCCACAGTAGCGACAGAACAAATTCAACAATATGCCAAATCAACCACCACCAGCATAACGAAGAGGTTTTTTGATAATGACAACGAAAGAACAGCAAAACGTACCAGGACTAATAAGGTGATAACTATCATAGGATTTTATTGTTGCCGGGCTAACAATTCTAATATATTACTCATTGCAATACGGACAGGATAGTGAAGACGATGATGGTACCGAAAACAGTCCTTTTTTGGAATCAGTTGAGAATTTATCTTCTGTCTCTCTTAAAAACCAATTCTCTCTCGACAATGATCCTTTTCCGATGTCGGGCAAAAAATCATCCAATAATGACAAGGATATAATAGATGAATTCTTTTCCGGTCCATCTACGCAAGTTTCACATGATCTAGTAATGACAGAATACCCACAGCAAACATTGCCATGCATCCTTAAATCTGGTGAGAATTTCACCGATGTGTGGAATAAGTATTTGCTTAAAATTGACTTGCATCAATGGAGAGTGGAGAATGATAGCATTGTGGTAACTTTCCAGAACGACATACTCAAATCTATGTGTTTGAAAGAAAGCTGGGAGCAAATCCGAGGCCAAAAACTACATCTCGCGGAAGAAAATTTATTGGAGAGACTTAGTCCTGTTTTTCAAAAGATAGAAGATGAGAAGCAGTCTTTATTGCGGAAATTTGCGCAAGTGTGGACAGCTATAGGTGAAGACGACATCAGCTTGTTTGAGCAGTATGCATTACTAGTTATCCATATCTTTATTAGCGAATTCACAAGTAAAAGAAGCGCGATCTCACATCCCTCAACTACAGAGGCCATGTGGAGTACAATAATGAGCTTTATAACAGGGAAAGCGATACGGAGTGGATATGTAGAATATACATGGGGAGAGGTCGAGTTAGATTCGACGGCATTAAGAAAAGATAGTGGGCGTGATATTCTCTCTCTCCCAAGAGTTGCAACAGGGCACAAAGGAGATGGAACGGGATTATCAAATGATGGGCGTGAATGCTTTGTTATGGAAATATCTTATGCTCCGCAAGATCAAGATAGGCGGAAGACAGCTAAAGATCTTTATAAATTGCTTCGAGAAATGAGAGATATGCTTCATATATCTAAGAAAGAAAAACGCGAATTAGGTTACAAGATACCAAAAGAGGGTTTGTGCGTATATGGCTCACAGTGTTATGGATACACACAAGATTTGTTTGAGATGGAGTACATTAATCCCTTCTACATAGCTCGAAAAATCGGGTCTGTAAAGATTTCCAACAATGATATCACAAAACTTGCCTTCGTTCTGCGGATGATGTGGGCATTTAAAGAAAGGGTTGCCTCGGCGAATGAAGTATGGAACAACTTAGAAAGTCGATATGAAAATTATACAACGCTAGAATCATCTGATGATGGAGATAACTTCACAAAAATGACCCCAAAGAAACAATCAAAACGTACTGATCAATGAAAGATGTTATTAGCATTTTAATTTTCGATTAAATATTACAGAATTTTTTAGTTAACTAAATACCTCACATGATGCTGTGGTTAATAAAGTTTGCCCGGACTTGTGATTTTTAACTTGTGTATACGTATGTGGTGTGGTTTACATTGAAAAATAAAAAAAGGTGTATACTATTATATTTAGATACAAAACATCCTCGATTACAGACGAATAAAACTAGATTTCCAGTTTATTGTATATAATGCATATAGACTTTTGCAATAAAGCTGGCCCTGGTGGCCAATTTCGCATAAATAATCATGTTTACTTTTGCATGCGTATATTGAGTGAATTTATTTTATTGATATATTTGCTAACAATATCATGTACTGTAAATATGATTGAGAATTTTTTCACGTGTCTCTGATCGTTCCCCAAGGGAACGGTTTTGTATTATGTGACTTATATTATATATATGAGTTAGATTAATAAACAAGCTTTTGAATAATCCGCATTTTATATAAAAAATGGCAAACTCGCAATCCAAAATTGATTTGCTCGAAGAACAAAATTCCAAGCTTGTAGCCGAGATTACTGAACTTAAAAGGGAGAAGGCTGAATTCTTAGCTAAAGAAGCCGGGTTTATGGTTAGAATAATGGAATTAGAACAAAATGCCGAAAAAGCGAAATTAAGAGATACCGAGCTCAATACCAGAATCATGGAACTAGAGCGGTCAGGAAAAGAAAATGAAAAGCGGTTTGTAAAATTGGAACAGAAGCAATTACAAAATAATACTGATGTTAATGTATCTGACCCTGTTATAAACCAGTGTGTTGATACTAATTCCAAATCGGTAGAAGGTGATACACCTAAACAGACAAACTTACGATGTGTTGATACTCCCGCATCTTACAATTCAAATTCTGATGCAGGTCAGGAAGGTACGAATTTTCGGGTCTCCACCTCATCTTCGACTGCATTCCCTATATGCATAAAGCCTAAATCATCTGAAGATAAAGAGATAAATAATTTTCTGATTGAAAAACATAATGAACAGATTCGTAATGAAATAATAGAAAGAAATCGGGAAAAGAAGCTTCAACGAGAATCGGCTATCCAGGACTTATCATACAGTAGTACAGAAACCATTCTCTCAAAAAATGATCGAGATGTAAATTTATCATGCGATACAAAAAATACTAATGGTCAAGCTGAAATTTCTGAATTAGAGCAAGATAATGAGTGTGATAAAAATCAAATTGTAGAACGGGGTTTAATAGAAGAATTACATTTATCTACTGAGAGTCAAGACTTCATTGATTCTGCAATATATAATACTAGCTCTACTGAAATTAACGTATCTTGTAGTATATCAGAAAATAAAAGTTCAGCTCAACATCTATCTTATTTATTTAAAACGGCAATCAAATCTCGTCAACAAGAAATCTTAAACTGGTGTTATTATTCTCTTGAATTCGAAAACAGGGTACATACTATTACAACTGATGGTAAGATCAAAGATAAAACAGCAAGAACGATGATTTATAAAGAAATGAACCCGTTTCTTCCTAATATTACTCAAGATAACTTGCGTAAAAAAACTCTTAGAGCTAGAATTATATATTGCAGAATCAATGAAGTCTTGACTCTCAGTAGATAAATGTAATTCTTCTATTAAACCCCGTTCTACAATTTGATTTTTATCACACTCATTATCTTGCTCTAATTCAGAAATTTCAGCTTGACCATTAGTATTTTTTGTATCGCATGATAAATTTACATCTCGATCATTTTTTGAGAGAATGGTTTCTGTACTACTGTATGATAAGTCCTGGATAGCCGATTCTCGTTGAAGCTTCTTTTCCCGATTTCTTTCTATTATTTCATTACGAATCTGTTCATTATGTTTTTCAATCAGAAAATTATTTATCTCTTTATCTTCAGATGATTTAGGCTTTATGCATATAGGGAATGCAGTCGAAGATGAGGTGGAGACCCGAAAATTCGTACCTTCCTGACCTGCATCAGAATTTGAATTGTAAGATGCGGGAGTATCAACACATCGTAAGTTTGTCTGTTTAGGTGTATCACCTTCTACCGATTTGGAATTAGTATCAACACACTGGTTTATAACAGGGTCAGATACATTAACATCAGTATTATTTTGTAATTGCTTCTGTTCCAATTTTACAAACCGCTTTTCATTTTCTTTTCCTGACCGCTCTAGTTCCATGATTCTGGTATTGAGCTCGGTATCTCTTAATTTCGCTTTTTCGGCATTTTGTTCTAATTCCATTATTCTAACCATAAACCCGGCTTCTTTAGCTAAGAATTCAGCCTTCTCCCTTTTAAGTTCAGTAATCTCGGCTACAAGCTTGGAATTTTGTTCTTCGAGCAAATCAATTTTGGATTGCGAGTTTGCCATTTTTTATATAAAATGCGGATTATTCAAAAGCTTGTTTATTAATCTAACTCATATATATAATATAAGTCACATAATACAAAACCGTTCCCTTGGGGAACGATCAGAGACACGTGAAAAAATTCTCAATCATATTTACAGTACATGATATTGTTAGCAAATATATCAATAAAATAAATTCACTCAATATACGCATGCAAAAGTAAACATGATTATTTATGCGAAATTGGCCACCAGGGCCAGCTTTATTGCAAAAGTCTATATGCATTATATACAATAAACTGGAAATCTAGTTTTATTCGTCTGTAATCGAGGATGTTTTGTATCTAAATATAATAGTATACACCTTTTTTTATTTTTCAATGTAAACCACACCACATACGTATACACAAGTTAAAAATCACAAGTCCGGGCAAACTTTATTAACCACAGCATCATGTGAGGTATTTAGTTAACTAAAAAATTCTGTAATATTTAATCGAAAATTAAAATGCTAATAACATCTTTCATTGATCAGTACGTTTTGATTGTTTCTTTGGGGTCATTTTTGTGAAGTTATCTCCATCATCAGATGATTCTAGCGTTGTATAATTTTCATATCGACTTTCTAAGTTGTTCCATACTTCATTCGCCGAGGCAACCCTTTCTTTAAATGCCCACATCATCCGCAGAACGAAGGCAAGTTTTGTGATATCATTGTTGGAAATCTTTACAGACCCGATTTTTCGAGCTATGTAGAAGGGATTAATGTACTCCATCTCAAACAAATCTTGTGTGTATCCATAACACTGTGAGCCATATACGCACAAACCCTCTTTTGGTATCTTGTAACCTAATTCGCGTTTTTCTTTCTTAGATATATGAAGCATATCTCTCATTTCTCGAAGCAATTTATAAAGATCTTTAGCTGTCTTCCGCCTATCTTGATCTTGCGGAGCATAAGATATTTCCATAACAAAGCATTCACGCCCATCATTTGATAATCCCGTTCCATCTCCTTTGTGCCCTGTTGCAACTCTTGGGAGAGAGAGAATATCACGCCCACTATCTTTTCTTAATGCCGTCGAATCTAACTCGACCTCTCCCCATGTATATTCTACATATCCACTCCGTATCGCTTTCCCTGTTATAAAGCTCATTATTGTACTCCACATGGCCTCTGTAGTTGAGGGATGTGAGATCGCGCTTCTTTTACTTGTGAATTCGCTAATAAAGATATGGATAACTAGTAATGCATACTGCTCAAACAAGCTGATGTCGTCTTCACCTATAGCTGTCCACACTTGCGCAAATTTCCGCAATAAAGACTGCTTCTCATCTTCTATCTTTTGAAAAACAGGACTAAGTCTCTCCAATAAATTTTCTTCCGCGAGATGTAGTTTTTGGCCTCGGATTTGCTCCCAGCTTTCTTTCAAACACATAGATTTGAGTATGTCGTTCTGGAAAGTTACCACAATGCTATCATTCTCCACTCTCCATTGATGCAAGTCAATTTTAAGCAAATACTTATTCCACACATCGGTGAAATTCTCACCAGATTTAAGGATGCATGGCAATGTTTGCTGTGGGTATTCTGTCATTACTAGATCATGTGAAACTTGCGTAGATGGACCGGAAAAGAATTCATCTATTATATCCTTGTCATTATTGGATGATTTTTTGCCCGACATCGGAAAAGGATCATTGTCGAGAGAGAATTGGTTTTTAAGAGAGACAGAAGATAAATTCTCAACTGATTCCAAAAAAGGACTGTTTTCGGTACCATCATCGTCTTCACTATCCTGTCCGTATTGCAATGAGTAATATATTAGAATTGTTAGCCCGGCAACAATAAAATCCTATGATAGTTATCACCTTATTAGTCCTGGTACGTTTTGCTGTTCTTTCGTTGTCATTATCAAAAAACCTCTTCGTTATGCTGGTGGTGGTTGATTTGGCATATTGTTGAATTTGTTCTGTCGCTACTGTGGCAACGGTTATGTACTGGTTTGTCTACGGAAAATGGATCAAGAGTGAATGTTTTGACCTATCACGTTAGATTTGGGTGGAATGAAAATGAATTGAGTACCTGCAACTTTTGAACCTTCGCATTTGCTTTTTCTTTTCGAAAATTGACCTTATCTTCAACCAACTGGTTCTTCATTATAAGATTTTGTCTTTCGTTTTGAAGTTTCCAAAAATTCTTTATCGCTGATGACCGTTTACTTTCCTATAAAACAGAAGTTCTAAGTACCTGAACTTCGTTTGATAATTTGTCCTATTCACGTGCAAACAACAATAGGTAACATCACGAACAAACAAGCACACAGATTGTATCATTCGATTATTGAATATATATCTTTCGCGACCACCATGAGTCTACAAAATCCATTAAGCATAGCTCACCAACAGACAAGCAGTCGTTCCCACTACAAGCGCGCAAGATTGTAGAGTAGTTGGTGTACTTAATGGTATGATGAGTCTCAAGGCGGTTCGTGGAGCAAGCTCACCAACAGACAAGCAGTCTTTCCCCTACAAGCTGTCAGGTTGCAGGGTAGTTGGTGTACTCATTACCCTGATCCAAAAATTATATACGTTACTTGCCTTGAAAGCATTTTTCCACCTTTGCACTTCCTGCCCAGACTTAGATGCTTCAGCATAAAATTTGCTGATTTCGTCTAATTCTTTCTTGTAACGATCGTATTCAACTCTTGAATCTTCTATGTCGCCAGCTGAAAGCCGAAAATCTAAAAATTTCTTGAGAGAAGGCTGGTCCGTACTCTCCCAAAAGGCTATATAATCGCAAATGATAAGTTACGTTGTAAACATAAAGAACGTTAGCACTGTTTATCTTACCACGGTATTTCACAGCGTTAAGACATTCAGGAAGGAGGTACATAACGTCAGAGTTAGTCGTGAAAAATAAAACCCGCGACAAAAGAAATTTGAAAATACTAAAATTTTTCGGGGTTGCATTTTTTAGGGTTTGGGCTAGGATTTATGACGCGCGCATTTTGTAAGTTATGAAACAGCAGAGACAGTGCCCGATCCAGAGTGAATCCCTCTCCCCTGTGATCAATCACAAATTAACTTATTTATATTGGATTCAATTGTGATGGATATAATCCCTCACCAGTTTTAATATATGTGTAACATTAACGGTCTCTG